TATAGTACTATGGCCTACACATTATGGCTCATTCATCAACAGCACCCACACATCACTATGTATCAGTACACCCGTTACCAAAGTATCTACAATTCCCACATATTATTGAAGTGGTGACATCTAAGACTGCATATGTACTGTCACAGGTAAAGAAGTCTGAGAATCGTGTTATGTTTCTACTTTCAAATGAAGAAACAGACCACTATTACAAGAGCCAGAAGATGGTACTGAGCAAAGAGAGTGCCAACCTGAGATTGCTTCCCCTCAAACCACGACTTATTGAGATCCAGAAAGGAGAAAATGGTTATGGCTTTTATCTACGGATGGAACAAAATACTGGTGGTAAGAACAGAGTTAACACACAGATCATGACATTTGCTATAGAGTTTCTTTTGGTACAAGGTTTGCAGACCTCATTCTCTTTTGGCTTCTCACTGGCCATCTAGAAGTCCTCTACAGATGTGTTGCAAACAGACCTGCATGAAGGAAATGGTCTTGACCATGCAATTCTGACAATCAAGTTTTCCATGTCTTTAAACTTCACATCAATCTTTTCTCCCTTCTGATCTTAGATCATATAATCAAGGACGTTGATGTTGAGAGTCCAGCAGCCACAGCAGGTCTCAAAGACAACGATATCTTAGTAGCTGTGAATGGAGAGCTGGTGCATGGTCTGGACCATGAAAGTGTAGTGGGAAAAATTAAGCAGTCTGAGGCAAAAACAACACTGTTGGTAGTGGATAAGGAGACTGACGCCATGTATAAACTGGTAAGAAAATGCAAACTACTACTTAGAAATGATAATTTATCAGTAGGAAGAGACATATGCAGCAATAAAACAGCCAGTCTGCTCTGACAGACACTTCAACTGGTGGGAAATGTCTAAGATACGCCCATATTTCAGCAACTCTCCTTGCACTTGTACAGCAAGTCACAAAACACCCAAATTTTTGGCCTCTTCCAGATTTTTAGCCACTACTGGAACAAAATACACCACAAGAAAGGTTAGAAGTTTAAACCAACAAATTCAGAGCCATGCAATGGTGTAACCATTTATGAACAAAATGAGCAACAAAATTCCTTTCTCACACAGGGCAACACTAGTTTTCTACTCAGCCAGAAATTAATAGCCAAGAGCTCTTCGCTGCAGCTCAAGTCTTAGTCATTAAAAAGGTTTCAAAGAAATCATTTTGATCATGAAGCCTGATAGAGATTTTACAATGGAAGTTTTTATACTAAAGAAGTTTTATTTGTGACTTTTTTATTTGTGACTTCTTTTCAGGCTCAAATTTCCCCTTTCTCATACTACTACAAAGCACAAGATCCAACTCCAGCTAAAACAGAAGAAAGAGTGGAGTTGCACACTGAGCAGAAAGAGAACCACAAGCCAAGAATTTGCAAGATGGTGAAAGGGCCTAATGGGTTTGGCTTCAGTTTAAACATGATTAAGAACAAGCCTGGACTGTTCATCAATGAGGTATTAATGTAGAATGAGGAACAAGGAAAAGCCCAAGTAGTCTGTCAGCCAACTTCCTTTCTTCTGTCCTGCAAATGCCTTCAGGAAAAGCCACACAAGACAAGTCTCTTCTCTAGCACACTCAGACAAAAGCTGTAGCTGTTAGTCATACTGACATTGTAGGACCAAGATAAAAAAATAAGCTATTAGATGTCTAGACAAAAGGGAAATCCAGCTTTTGCATCATTTTTGCTTTTATTCATGAGGCCAGCATGCTAAAATTGGTACTTTAAATAGGTTTTTTTTTGTCTGTAGAACAGCCTGAATGTGAGACACCTTCACCCTGCTCTACCCACCTCTTTTGAATTCCATAGCTGGCAAAAGTTGAACCCCAAACAGATCATGTCTGTGCCTTTAGCTTTCTTGAGAGAAGGGGGTTCCACCCATTACTAAGGATATGTAATGTAATAAGGATATATGTAATAAAGGTAACCTTACTGTAAGTTTAACGTAGTAAAGTTAACTTTAAAGTTACTGGATAGGGACTTGCACGTAATTAGTTTTCCACCTGTCTTCATGATTCCACCATGCCACATTTCTACAACAAGTCTACCAAAATCAAGATGTAAAATCCCAAACTGGTGGGTTCCATGTTTATCATACCTAGGCCTATTGTCTGCCCCAATTATCTTCCCCATGTTTATTTTGCTGTCTTGTAAAGCAAGCATAAACACTTTGTATTTTGCTGTCTTGTAAGCAAAACAGTAACACAATAGCCCTGCTAGCCATCAGTTGTTAATGCATCCTTCCAAGTTTTATGGTAATATCACAGTTTGAACTTGCCTTTGCAGGTAAAAAACCAGGGACCAGCTGACAGAGCAGGTGTAGAAAATAACGACTTCTTGGTGGAAGTGAACAGCGTGAATGTGATGAATGAATCCTATGACAAAGTGGTGGCAAGAATCCAAGATAGTGGTGACAGACTAACACTACTGGTGTGCAGCAAAGATGCTTACAAATACTTCCAGGACCAGAACATTCCCATCACAGTCTCTATGGCAGATCCAGTCCATGACACTTCTGAACCTCCTGATTACACAGAAAACTATCCATCAGAGCCAGAGAGAAACTCACCTGAACCAAGGGAAAGGGTGAGTAATACTGCATTAAGTAGATGTTGAGGAATCATCCAGGGAATAGGAAAAGAACTAGTATTTCTGTGCTAGGATTTTTAACTTGAGCCTGGATTATTACAAATCAGCCTATGGTATTAAAAAGGAAGCTGTAGTCTGATTATCATAAACAACTCTTCCTTTCCCCACACATAATACGGGTGAGTATCTTTAATGAAAAACTAAATCACAGAAAGAATGCACATAACAAGAGGTTTTATGGAACAAGATAATCCAAATACACTAATCCTTGATGAAGATGGGACAGGCAATACAATCCTGAACATGCAGGGGAAAAAGTTCTTAAATACACCAAAAAAGCATAAACCACTTTTGGGGAAATCAGATGAAATATGTTAGATCCTTTTGTAGAGGAAAGAGCAACTGATAGGTTATGATGACATTTTCTAGTAAATGTGCTGATTTATTTTACTCACTTCATGCCACTAGAAAGAATATGAAGCATGACAAGTCAGAAAAGCAGGAAAGTATTTCTTCTTGAAACAGTCATTTTGAATCCTCTGTGTGGTCAGCCTTAAACATTTAAAGCTCTTTTCTGATCGTGCAAAGGAGACAGACAAGGAAAAGTAAGACCAATGCTGTCTCCTGTTCATTTTTCATTAGCCTTGTCTGCAACTGTCCAGCTGCCAGGTTTCTGTAAAAGTTTCAGTCACCAAGCTGCACTCTGCAGCAGAAAGAAGTTAACACCACTTTTGTGTGCAAATTCAGCAGGTATGGGAACAATAGATCTCTATTGAATAAATTTCCCTCTAAATATAATTAACCAAAAAGCGCTTCAACAACAACAAAAAAAAAATCACCTTTTTTGGTTTATTCTGCCATCCAAACAAGTACACAATTAGTGCAGACGAAAACAGGAGTTGTTCATAACCCTGTAGACTATCAAGCATGTTTATGATCTGAAAATAATCAGAATGTATTTGTTACTCCTCTGCAGGCAAGCTCATCCTCTTCTTCACGATCAGCTGCCTCTACAAGAGCAGACAGTGACAACAGTGACGACACAAAGTTGTGAGGAGACAAACTATGCCAAGAACAGAAAAAGAAACCTTCCAAATCCTCTTTCTTCAATCATTCTACACCTCTCAGAACTTGACTACTCCTAGGAGTGCCATACCTGTAAAGGACTGCAATCTCTTGCTGAAATGCAGTTGCCTGAAGTAAACGCTCCAGTGTAACTTGCATCCATTTAACACACTGCAATTGTACTTCATTGGCTTTCTGCCTTGTAAAGTGGGCAGTTAGTCACTTCCTTCTGTAAAGGCTTAAATAAGTGTAAGTAGAAAATTAAGTATAGTGCAGCAGAAGGCAGAAATGCTTTATAGATTTGTAAGCATCTTAGCCTTTTAAGGATAAGCTCTTAATAAAAAGCAATTGATTTCTCCCCATCTCCCAGGAGAGGCAGTTCTCCCCCTAATCCAAGTCCATCAGCTCAAGCTCTGTGGCAACTCTTCTATGTAATACTTACAGCTGTACAACTGCTGTGAAGTGGCACAAGCCAGAGTATTCTGTGCATTACACTCCTTACTCCTGCTAACATTGCAGAAATGTCTTTCAAACATTAAGCTAACTTCATAATCCATAAATCAAGATATTTAAGCACTATTCTTTCTCCACTGCATACAGTTGTGGATCATGGTAATTAGAATAGCGTACATAATTCAGTCCTGCACATTTGTTTAACTCCAAGTCAACACCACATTGTCTTGAATATGACATAAATGGCTTTGTAATACTGCTGCTGTATACTTTGTCTCTTTGCTGTACACTGAAGACAATCCAGAAATAAATCGTTTAGAGTGGCTATTCCCACCCACACCCCCAATCTTATCCTTACTGCCTAAGATTTATGTTCCAGAACAACTTTTAAACAAAGAAAGCCTAGGAGAGCAGCTATGGAAAGCTACAAGTCACATGAATAAAATTTACTTTTATGCCTTGAATTACACCAAGAAGGGGAAATGGGCTATTGTAGAAGAATACACAGGCTGTGGAGAACATCAGATTTACAGAATATAAGGAAACAGATTTGTAACATATAAGGTAAACAAGGCATAGCTGTGGTCTTTGACTTCACACTGAACTCCAGTAAAGAGGAATCCAAAACCTCAGTTCCAGTTACATATGGAGAGAAAACAAAGCTGAATCTCAGCAATAGAAAGCCAATCTCCAGCTCCCAAGAACAGCAGATACCAGTGATACACAGCAGTATGCACTCCATACGGAAATGGAGTGGAATTTCTCTCTATTTCACGTCTGCCAGGCAGCAAATCTTAGCCACTTTCTCGTTCACTTTCCAGCCAAATCTTTGGGTATGACAAAAAACAACTGTGATGCTTGCATGACATATTACAAAAGCTTATTTAATTCCACAGACCCAAACATTCAACTCCAGAATTGCCATCCTCTGAACCCCAATTATGAGTTGATTTTCAGAAGTAAAATCACATTTCCTTGGTGCCTTCTATGAAAATGTTCTTCTAACTGTAAAAAATCTTACCTTAGCCAACCTGCCATGCAAGTTCTGATGTCCCTAGTTACTGGTGTACCCAGGAGTGCCCTTACTCCTTGGCAATGAACAATCTCACATTCAATATGTGCATTCCCTTCCCTTCAAGCTGTGGCACCTTCATAAAATGAGCCACAGAACTTGATGATGACATGTGGAAGTTCAAGGAGCCAGTTACACTGCTGGAACACACACAGCATAGTGCTGGCCCCCTTCAAGTTTTGCAGTCCACAGGAGTTGCAGCAGTGCAGTTGAAAGGACGGAGAGCAGTGCATGACTGCAGTCCTACTTAGAGGGCCATGTGCTTTTCTGGAGCTTGTTTGTGGGCTAAATAGAGAAAGAGGATACTGGACAGTGCACTAACTAGGAATATCACATCAAACCAACGATGATAAAAGTTGAACTGGAGCTCTCCCAGGACTTCTGTAATAATAGTGCGATACTCCAGAGGCATACTCATCCGTATCAGGAGCACTGATGACACGAAGTACATACCCTGTAAATTAAAAACCAGAAAGTAGTGATTGTTTCACAACAACCCATGTGGCTAACATGGGTCAGCATACAAAGATTTTATTATATGTACACACTATGCATGCGTAAATACAGACAGGCATGCCTGAGGTTTTACATACTCACCATTATCTGTGCTAGAAGCAGAACAATAACATTGGAGGACTTGCTGCTGGAAATGGCATAGAAGAACTAGGGGAGAAATAAAAAAAGAGACACTGGAAATAGCAGTCAGATAAGTTTGATGTGCCTTAGGACAGCATGAAAGGACCATATTACTCAATACTTTTTCATGTAAAAAAAAAAAAAACCACAATAAAAAGCATATTTTCTGGAAGGGTTCCTGTACCCTACTTTCAGAAACCTGCACTCTTAGTCTTAAATGTGACTTTCCCTAAGCCAGTGGTGCCATGTGGTAAAAGTCATGTAACAATATATATTGAAGTTTACACTTAGGTACCAAAAGCCAGGTCAAGACAGTAAGTCACATGTCCCTTGAGCTAATGCCCTTCCAGTTCTACCAGCAGCTCAAACTAAGCAATCTAAATTCTTTTCATCATGATCTGATCAACATTATCCTAAGCCCTGGCTACAACACCATTTTGAACCCTCGCTTACATTTCACATCTCATTTAGCATCTACATCTATTCCCGACAGTAATAGCAATAGAGACTGAATGAGGAAATATACTGCAGAAGGTATTAAGGTATTTTTCCTGCCTTCCCCACTCTGCAAGTATTTATATTCAGCTTTCCTGGTCCAAAACAACATAAGAGTCCTGGCTCTTACCTTTGTAAGTGTGATTAATAATCCTCTGATAGAGGTAACAATGATTATTCCAACAAGAATAAAGGAAATGTGCTGAGACCAGAATTTCACCTGTATCAACAAGAATAATACAGTTAAATCTCTAATGCTAACTCCCTTTACACCTCATTGTATAGCTGCCAATTCTTCAGGGGTTTTGTATTTCCCAGTTGTACAGATATCCATTGTAGACAGGTTTATGAAACAGGCATTTTCACAAATATATTAGCAATTGCTTACTCCAAACAGAAAAACAGATTTAGCTTACACTAATCACAAAGAACCTTGTATTTACAGGGATATAGTTAAAAGGTACAAATGACAGAACACCTGTGTGCATGAGCAAATGTAATTATTTTGTAGTTAAATGTATTAATCTAAGCAAGTTGATTAACGTGTTTCCATTTGCCCAAAACAAACAACCAAATCACTGCCTCTCTGGCAAGACCACATTACCATCCCAGTATAAAATTCACATGAACGTGAAATTCATGGTGCATTTTCCCTTCCTTCTCACCAAGTCAGAAGTCAAGACATTCTCAGGGTTCTCTTTCTCTCTCACTATCAGCACCATGATTTTATTTACGTAAGATAGGAACCATTGAAAAGGCTATAAGAATTAATAAAGTCTCACATCAAACTGGATTCCCAGATAATTTACAGTGATCTCAATTCCTCTTGTGACTGGATCAGTCTTCCCCACACGGTCAAATACAATATTGATGGTTGCCTGCAAGAGAGATGGATTTACATTGAAACCAGAAGACAAACGCATACCCCACTGTTACACGCGAGACGTGTGACTCTTACTTTGCATCACCAAGGAAAGGGGCAGAGAGCAGTCAGATTGGCTAAGAAGGTAAAAATACACACGTGTAAGAATTGCTTGTCTAATGCTCTATATAAAAAGATAGATCCAGAGCTTTATTTCAGCCAAGAGCCAGTTTCTTTCAGAATTTCCAGAAGCAGGATTTTAAGGAAACTGGAGCATTACTTGAAGAACTGCATGTATAACATAACCTATGCAGGGTGTGACATTTGCATATGTCAACATAAAACACAAAAAAACATTTACATACCATGAAGATTTTCCAGACACAATAGATGGAGAAAAAATAACCCAAAAAATTGAAGTATTTTCCCTGGAAAGTTTTGGAGTACTCTATTCTCTCCTGGAAATACAAAAAGAGGGAGGGGAAAACAGAACACACAAAATAAGTATCATTTCCCCAATCCCCCAGAACACAAAATGTTAACGGAGCACCAACAGTAGCAAGCAGCTTTATCCCTCTATATCTCTTAATTCAAATGTTTCTGAACTCAAAAGTTTTAATTCAGAAGTTTCTGAATGGCTTTAGGAACATAGGGCACAGCCAGGTATGTATCTGAACTGGAAGGAAACTGCCATTTAGACCCCAAATTAAAGAAAGATCTTCATTCTGCCACATCACAATATTTCAACATTTAACTAACTGAACAACTTTCAATTTCTTGTAACATACATTTTCTTTCAAACTACTTCTGGGCAGTTCCTTTGCCATGTACCTTTGTTGCATGCAAGTCAGCAGTTTCCAGGAAAAGCTGCCGACTAAGCTCTTCTAGGGCATCCACTTCTTGCTGGATAAGGGACAGATCTGGCAAACCAGCATAGTCAAGGCTAGAATACATCACAAATTCTTTATTAAAAACAAAACATTCCCTCCCAACTTCAGCCCAAAGCCATATCTTTTGATCAATTTTTTGATCCTGATCAGTTTTTTGATTCTGTCTGAATGCTCTTTGTTAATACTGCACCCAAAGAAACCTCAAGGATACATACACCTTAGGGCAGCTTTCCAGTACCTAGAGGGCCTACAAGAAAGCTGGAGAGGGGCTTTTTTTAAGAGCAAGTAGTGACAGGATAAGGGGAATGGCTTTAAACTGAAACAAGGGAAATTTAGATTCTAAGAAGTTCTTCCCTGTGAGAGTGCTGAGGTGCTGGCACAGGGTGCCCAGAGAAGCTGTGGCTGCCCCATCCCTGGCAGTGTTTAAGGCCAGGTTGGATGGGGTTCTGAGTTACCTGGTCTAGTGGAAGGTGTCCCTGCCCACGGCAGGGGGTTGAAACTGGATGAGCCTTAAGGTTCCTTCCAACCCAAATCATTGTATATGTGATATATTTCACACTACCCCATTTTAAGCAGGTAGGCAGGACACAGCATTTAGGCAGTCATGCACAAGTTCTTTATTCCTCTGCCTGAAGAACACATTGCAGAAGAGAACCAGAGCTCTCAAAGACTGCTGCTCCACTTCAGTCTCCCTTGTCACTGAAGCACATCTCTCAATACGTCACTCTCACATCATTTTCATAAACAAAACTGCTGAGTAACTGCTTCAAGAGATTAGTGATTATTATGAAGAGTCTTGTCAAATAGTCAAATTGATTTTAACAGCTAGTAGGAACAGAGAGGAAGAAAAGAGTCATCAGCCTTAAATATGCAAACTGCACTCTTTAGGTGGTCTGGCAGAAACTACTGGCATGTAACTGTAAGTTAGATAAATACAGACCCTTGTAATACCCCAACAGATTCCCTCTAACCCTTTCACATTGGCAGAACAGCTTCTGTTCACCTGTTCCTATCCACCTTTCTGTCACACTGCTATAGCACCACTGGCCAGCCTATATCATGAGAACAATTTGCTTCCTGCCCTTCTTTTTCTCATGGCTTCCCAACATGGGCAGAAAACCAACTATAGGATAGGCAAATTGTTCCAGGACCTCAGTCAACCCCATTGTTTTGCTCAAGTACATCACAGGTTCTCCAGCCCAGAAGAGCATATTTCAAGTTACAAGAAAAATAGGCAGGTCACTCATATGAGTAGAAGACACATCAGAACAGAAAATTGCCTTCCACATCAGTGATGTGGTGGAGTAGACATCTGCACTGTAACACCATGATCAGAGGGCTGGAGCACCTCTCCTATGAAGATGGACTGAAAGAGTTGGGCTTGTTCAGCCTGGAGAAGAGAAGGCTCTGGAGCAGCCTTCCAGTACCTAAAGGAGGCCTACAAGAAATCTGGAGAGGGACTTTTTACAGGGACATATAACGATAGGACAAGGGGGAATGGCTTTAAACTGTAAGAGGGTAGATTTAGATTACCCACTATGAGAGTGGTGAGACACTGGAAGAGGTTGCCCTGAGAAGTTGTGTATGTCCCATTCCTGGGAGCGTTCTGGGCCAGACTGGATGAGGCTTTGAATCCCTCCCAACCCAAACCGTTCTATGGTTCCACGATAAGTGTGCATATCTGGCCTGCAATCTGCTGTACACCTCAACCATGGTGATGCAACACCACATTTACAGGGCAGGGCAGCAGTACACAACTCCCAACTGTATCACAGTAAAACTGTGTCCAACCTCTGGGCAAAAGGTCAGACAGTACAGTGCAAGACAGCAAACTTCCCAGGAGACATTAAGCCTTTTGCTCAGACTGCTGAAACACATTGAAACACAAATGCTTTGTAACTGGCCCAACTAAGGCTCTTCCTTTCAAAAGGGCGGGAAGCTGAAGCCACCTCCCAAGGCAGGGGCCAGCATGCAGATGAAGGATACTTTCACTGCCTGAAACAGATGTTGTAACACTTTTTATCATTCCCCAGAAGCCAGTGGGTTTGTTATGCACTTCTCCTCTCTGGAACATTGTCCTGTGAGCCACTGCTATCCTGAAAGAACAGAAAACACAAGTCCTTAGGGATAAAGTAGTTTAAAAAAAAAAAAAATCAAAATAAACCCCCCTTCAAAAAACAAGCCAACAAAAAAAACCCCAAAAAACCACAAGCCAAAACCCAAGAAACAAACAAAAAACCACCCCACAGTTCCTTAGAAGACACTGTTAAACTAAATTCACTGCAAACAGATGCTCTCCTTTCTTTCCCCCCTAAGCACCAATCTTGCTTCATAACATTATCTTGATTAGCTCTGGAGTAGAGCCCAGATCTAATCAAGCGAGATTCAGTGAGACACTTCCCAAGACTTCCATTCAGGATCCTGCTACAAACCTTAAAGGGATCTGAACCCAATTAAACCTAAGAATTCAAATGGATTTGTCAGTCATACGATTAGTCGCTTTCCTTCCCTCAAACACATGACTGTGCTATCTCAAGTTCAGGAAGACTTCTCATGCTCCTTCCTCCCCTTGAACACCTCTTTATCACTGCACAACCGCCTCCTCCATAGAACTGTGAGCACTGGATGGTATGCAGCAGCAGCAGCGCTCTGATATGCTGTCACACATACACTACTAGGCTGCATGACAATTTGTTATGAAGCAGAAACACATAAATCCATTATTGGACTGAACCACTGGATGCTTCAGGCAATCTGAACATGACTGCTAAAGCTAATTCCAACACTACAGCAGCAGCTGCGTATCATCCCTCACACTGCCATGTGCACCACTGCATAATCCCCACGAGCAGTGCTGGCTTCTGGCCTCATTCCCTCACATTTCTCCCCATTGAAATTTGTGAGCCAGTTATCCAGGCCTAAGCTGAAAACTATTCATAGGATTGTCAAGGTGATCCATGATTCCATAGTGTTTAGGCCTTTTCTTGTGGCTGCAGCCAGTATTGCTACATTTGGCACTGAGCCCTCTTCAAGGTTGTTGATAAGCACTGTAATTAAAAAAATCAGTCCTCCACATCCAGCAAAAGAAAAACCCTGGGGCACCCCACAAAACACACATAAAAGCACATACGGCCACAGACTACAAATAACAGATCTCAGAACAATCCAATTCATCCTTATAGCTGCCAAATACAAGAAATGCATTTTGAATCCTTGCTTTCTTCCCAGTACCTGATTCACAAGTTCCATCTGAAACCACCCACAGCATTGCAGCAAAAATGCAGCTATGTCAAGGCGAAGTACAAGGCTGTAAGTATACTAAGAGTAATCTTATTCTGAGAGGTAACAGGGATCTCTGTACCCATACAGCAGTCAGCAGTTTTGGAGAACTCATAAAAAGGATTCACAGGCAAAACCAACACATTTTGCATGTGTAGGTAAGTGATATATCTATGCCATATAGGCTGATTTTGACTCCAAAGGGAATCAGTGTCACGGAATCTAGGCATTTCAGACCTGGGGCTTAGTTATATCACACCTGCTAGAATGAGTACAAAGAACCTTCCAGTTGTAGAGGCAAGTTTCCATAAGGCTTTACTTGACTGTGCTCAGGAAGGAGAGAACAATAATTCATGTGCAAAAAGCACCAGGGAAAACCAACTTTTAACACCTATCTCCTACTGACAAAGAAGCCAATGTGAATAAGGGTTGGTATGAGACAAAAAGTCAAAATCAAAAAAGAAAACAAACAAGCTTTATGTTCCATTGCCTTACAACCCTTGTGTGCATTGGTAAGTTCTGAGTTATCAGTAGTGCTGAAAAGGCAGCGAGCAAGTAACTGACAATTTATGGAACAACAGCATTTACCCTGCTCTGTGAAATGCTGCTATTGCTGCCTGTTCTGACAAATGACTTGGATTGCATTTGGACTGATACAAATCTAACTTTTAAAGATCTGCTTTATATGGGTAAAGTCCAATTATGCAAGCCACTGCTCCCTGTCAAAGCAAAAAGAAGAAAACAATCCACAGAACTTGAGCTTCTGCTTTTTCTTGCACGTTTCTGAGGCTACATAGTTAGGGGAGGTTCTTTGTTGTTTTGTTTGGTTTTTTTTTAAATACAGTGACTTCAATAAAATTGCCAAGCAATTAACACACTATATGTGGCTCTTCATAATAGTTAGGTAGTTGATATATTCAGGCTTCCCAGCCATAGGAGGGCAAGAAAGTTTCAGTTACAAGTCCCAAACATCTTTATATTTATCCCAAAATCACTCTCCCTGGACTAGAGGTCAACAAAACAAAAGAGCACAGACTCAAATGCAGCACTACACAACATCTTTTCACTCCATAGCCAGTATTTTAGTATGCCCAATTAAACCTGAGTAATTAAATTCTCTTATACTCTCACACATGACCACAGATACCGAGTTCACATTTGCTCACCACTTAACATTTACAAAGTGGAAGAAAAATGTAATGCTTTAACTACACTTTCATATGCTAATACTGATCAGCAGATACACATGTTGGTGACTAATTCAGCAAGGTTAGACTACCCAAAAGCTGCCCTGTCGTACCTTAAAAGGTTCCATCAAAACATCAGTGCACCAAAAGCAAAGTCTGGGGGACTGCTGTGAGAATTCGGTGTCAGGCAGTCAAACCTTTGCAATGACTATGGTAATTGTATCTATTCTGCACAATCAGTTAAGGCATGTAATATGTAATTTGTAACAGCAGACAAAAAAAGACTTCTCAGTGTAAATGAAATTACCTTGTTTCCAAAAGTAGCTTCTTTGGGGTACATGAAATAAGCTAAACCCACAAAAGCAGAGCTCTGATGGCATGCTTGTATGCTACACTACATTCACATTAGCAATGTTTGCAATTCTTCAGAACTTAACTAATGTAAACCTTGCCATCTGCAGGAAGGTAACTGTGTCCACACAAGCTCACTAGCCAGCTCTGATCAGGAAATGCCAGATCCACAGAGCAGGAGAGTGCTCAGTATGTACGAACTCACTTTTGTACTGAAGCCACCAGTAAGAGAACCAGCCTAGGTGGCTTACAGTTCGCTTATGCAGCAGGAAAGATGCCCCCCTTACAGTCTAGTCAAGCTGCCATCACAGTTACAATTTGTCTTGGAAGCATAATCTGTGCCGCTGCAGTAAGAAAGTGTATTACTTAGTGCAGATGTCTGAGTAAAAAACCAAAGTTGCTTATCAGGCCAGAGTGAAACACCACACAGCTCAGCCCAATTCAGCCTCCTGTTTCGCTGGAACACATAGCCCCAACAAGTCTAATAATTTTGGTAATTTCAAGAACCACCTTATTGACTGAAAATCCTTGAAATAAATAATTTCATGTTACTGCTGCCTTCTCACCTTTTTTTCTTGCTAACAATCATGTCCATAGTCTGAAGGAGTCGTCGCTCCAAAGCCAGAATATCTGCATCTGTCACATTCCTGCAAAACAAAGACCCCCAGTTAGGTCTGCTATCCCATTTCAGAGGAAATGGGCACATGTCCATGAAACAAAGAAGAGAGAAGCCTGTATAAGAACACGTTTCACCAATGGAAATGGTTCTAGCATGTAGACATGGCAAGAGCTAGATTCAGAAAACAAAGTTATGAAAAAGCTTGAATCAATGCCACAGGAAAAGCAGAATAACAAACTCAAAAAGGTGGACAACATATTTCATGAGGCAGCAGTTACCTGAGAAAGTAGGACATGTAAGTGTATGGACAGTTGACAGCTCCAAATCCTGACAGCAAAGCCATAAGTGTCACCCCAATCACACCCACACGGCTGATGAGCTGTTCTATAGACAGGATTCCTGAGAAAGGAAAAGAATGGCATTAGTGACCTTGCTCCCTTTACTCTGTTCCACACTAGGTGCCTTCACAACCCAACACACATACAGAGCTGCTTAATTAATCCAGCTGCCTTCCTACTGCAATGACCAAAGGTAATACAGAGTAAAGACAGGGACTATGAAAAGAGAGACAGAAAGTCTCCCTGAAAAAGCACGTTATCATGCTTAGAAACAGGGATGGGAAATTAGCTATGAAGAAGCCCAAGACAGATCTGGAGAGGACTCAGTATTTTGCATCTAAATTAATAAAACAGTGACTGCACTTTGCTGAGGTGAGAACATGGATCATGCGCCAGACACTATAATGAAAGCATCTTTCACAAAACCACTTCTGCAATAACCAGGATTGAGTTACCAAACCTGTTAGTTCTGACAAACTAGCCCAAAAATGTCTGAACCATAGAGAGGAAGCCCTATCCTGTCATTAAAATTTAACTGTCATTAAAAGCAACCCCTCCTGATCAGATGCAATTTGTGCTTGTAGGCCAGTGTGCAACACCAGGTTGGACAGAGCCTTGGGTGCCATGGTCTAGTGTGAGGCGTCCCTGCCATGGTCTTAAGGTCCTTTCCAACCCAAACCATTCTATGGTTCTATGACTACAGCATGGGAAGTTTATGCTGCTCCTGGCTGCTTATATTCTTCCTGTGACACATACATGTTGTTGAGGTGACCACCAAAAAGGCATTCCACCTGAGCACCAAGTGGACTCTAAAACATAGAGTCACGTAATACAGCATGAACATCAAGCCTGTGCTGTAACCAACACCAAGCACTGAAGTTACATTTATTCTTCTCAGCTATTAAACACAGAGCTCAACCTGTCTTCTCAGGATACAGTGCCATGTGCTACTAAACAACACTCACTTTTTAGGGAGCTAGTTACAGAGCAGCTGCCACACACAGCACATTTGGAGCTTACATGACTGCAAAGCTGAGATGGCCAAGCGCCAAGCCACATTTCATGCTTCAGAGGAGGGGAATAAATGATGAAAACAAGGCAAAAAGACTTCACAAAGGGAGACTGAGACACCCAGTCATGTGCAGCTGCATAGAGATTTACACGAGCTACAGAATGTGCTACAATACACTGGCCTTTTGCCCCACACGCTGTCAGAGAGCAACAGTTAAAACAGAGGTGTCTTCCAAAATGACATGACATTCCACTGGTTAAAGCAATGCTTCCCACTAAAACTGACAGCAACCCTAACTCTTTTGATTAGCTCCTTTAGGATACGGTATGTAACTGCATAAAGTATAACCTTCCTTCTACTGTGAGCTCCCAAACTCAGGTCTAGAGAACATGCTGCAGACCAACCAGGGCTCCTGACTCAGAGCCCTTGACTGATGGTTCATTTCCAAGCTGCATCACACTGGCCACCACCATCCCCAGGCAAGCCACTCCGTGACACAAGGTGCCACTGCTGGTACTTGAAAGGGTCCCACTAGTCCACACAATTCCCCATGCATGGGGGGGGGGGCACAATGAGAAAGACACTACAGGTAACACAGTGTACGGGGTTCATTAGGCATAGCCTCCCTCCACAATAGGATCCCACCTGTCTGCATTGGGCCACTGCCACATGATACAGCCCTGCAACAGCTTTGTCCATAAATGCAGGAGAGCAGCACTCCAGCTGGGGAAAAAAGTAAAATAGAATCCTGTGCTCTAGCCTTATATCTATAGCTGGTAGATAAGGCACTGTACAACTGTTAAGTGGAGCCATCACCCTGTAAAGCAGAAGTTAAAACAAGAAAACACCCCACTACCAGTTCTGCAAGCCTGCAGTTGTTACACAGCTTCACAGAACCTTTTCAATGGTCTGAAGAGGATTACCTAAGCCCCATGGCTAAGTTCCCATTGGGTTATTATATTCTGCCAACTCAAGCACCTTCTGCTACTCAAAGTGGCTACGTGTTTTTCTTGGCAACGAAACCCTGAGCAGAGGGATCTGCACTGTATGCTAGCTGCTGTATTTCAGTGGCAAATGGCACAATTACAAAACACAGAAACACACTTTCTCTTAGGGTAGTTTTAGGATCAGAGATGAAAAGGTGAGCAGACCCTGGCTGCGGTATCCCTCACTTTTTCTCTTACAGATTAGTACACAGTAGCTTCCTAGAGAACAGAGAGATTAAGCTGACCTTTATCTACACAGACAGATATATTTCACCTATTTGAGTGAAACTAACCAAGTCTCACCTGATGAGAACAATGTATGACCATTTTTCCAGCGCAGGGGATAAGGGCAACATAATTTACACAGGAACCCCAGGTGATAAATGGTTTGGTTCTGTAGTGTTATAGTCCTTTGGCACACTTAAGAGCCTGGAGGATTCAGTATATACAGGCACATGCTAACAAACTCTGCTGGACCTAAACTAGCCCAAGAGAACACAGTATCTTCACACTATAAATACTCTTGGCTCCATGACTGTAACACAGAGATACCCAAGCTAACTCTGCACATAAATGGCTCTGGCATCCAGCAGGACTCACTAACTCACATTCTAATACCATGCAACTGTACAGGCTCAGGTGGTGTACAAAGCTGTACTGAAGCTAGCATGCACTGCCAGACATATTGCTAGCTATAGTCCACGAAACTCTGGTGTTTAGGCACCCTGTCATGTTTTCTCAACTGGACAGCCATCTATGCTAAACTAATCTGATTTCAGTCCCAAGAAACATTATTCTGATTGAAAGAGGTCAGATGAAGGATTGGTTGTCCATTTACTTCTTAAATAAATTATCCTTAGTCTCCACAAGAAAAGAAACGAGTGAACAAAAATTGTGGTCAACTTTTTGTGGAGATGGAGTTTGTGTCCTCAAAGAGTATGCTGTGTTCTTACATAGTCTAGGTTCAGCTAAGACTCACTCACTTCCATAAAGTTTTCCTGTGGTACTGGAAGAAAACTAATGCACATAACTCAGATGTATCCACCCACTTCTGTCAGTCTGACAACCTTCAAACTGCAGATTTCAAAGCAGAGCATACCCTGAGTTGCAGAACTACTTTCTACAGTCTCAAATGTACAGCTGAGAAAAATATTTCCAAGATAAAAGTGAGATAACAAAGGAATAGGGAAGAATATGAAACTCACCATGTTTTGGACTGAGGATAGGAAACGGATCCCCCAACTTCCAAAAGAAATACATGAATGTCAACCACAGAACACACGCAAAAAGCAGTTTCTGTCTGTGCACTAATGAGAGATAAAAAACAGTATTTTAAAGACATTCTTTCTTTAGGGCTTTTTCTAGCTTGAAAAATTGCTAAATTGGTCCAAAGGCTGCTTTGACTGCAGGCAGTCAAAACTGACAGAGCTCCAGTTAGCAGTATGCACCCTGCCCCTTCCTACAGGATCAGCTATTTGGGAGACCACCGCCTGAAAGAGCTGATGCAGCCACACAACCACTTTGGCTTTCCCCCATAGACATATGAAAGGGTCTGCACCATGAACAGGTGATTGCTTAGCTGTGTCTTTCTTGTTTGACCCTGAACATGAAACTTGACAACTTCATGCCAAAACTATACGTTTAATACTCCCAACCTACATACCTACGCTTAATACAAAAGAGCAATAAATATCAGTAGCTTGTAAGTGCCCATTAGTGCATGGAAGAGGCTTCATCCAGGCAGCAGTAAGCAAAAAAAGCAAAAGTAATTTATTGAGCTTTTCTGCCTCAAGAGTGATTTATTGAGCTTTTCTGCCTCCTTTCTTTCACCCCCTAGCAGAACAACACAGTCTTGCCAAGGGTTCCAGAGTCTGGCTGAAAGCTTAAAATTGTAAGGGAACACATCCTCTATAGTGCTCAACTCTGTTAAAATCCATGAAGAAAGGATACACTTGCTGGGGTCAGGTAAAATATCTTGTAACTGCTTAACAGTTCATGCTAAAGCATTGAATTCCAAAGGGAAGTCATCTAGACAGAACAAAGGAAGGAGTGAGCAAGCCATGTCTCTCAGGAAAGTGATTTTTCATTTGCACGTTTAGTCTCACATTATCAGCCCCTCTGCCATAAACCAGGTACTCACACAATCTGATATTGCTCACAACAAAGTAACCAATGTAGAAGGGCACCATGAAGACTAGGATGAGCAAAATGACACACAGGTTCAGCTTCCAGTGAAAGTATCGAGAGCTAAAATAAAGCCAAAATAACGATTACAGTAATACAGCACATTTCTCAAGGACAACTGCATTTCAACACAATCCTGTCAACTACACCAAGCATTGGAAAATATAGGCTTAGGATATAGAATATTCTGGATTTTGTTTGCTGTTTGGGGAGGTGGAGGGTGTTTGCTTTGTTTGGTTTGGGTTTTTTTTGGTTTGGTTTTTTTTTTTTTTTTTTTAAACACAGAGCTCAAAAGTGTGCATTTCAAAATTAACAGCTACCCAGAAAACCACACTGGGCTATTTTATCCAGCACTGTATTTTCTATGGTGACTACTGCCAGCTGCAGCATGATTCATTCAATTTACCACCCATCCAGTTGAACAATAAATCAAAACTAAGTATGAGCAGCAAGTAATTCTGTAATGAGTGGCTGAGTCAAAAAAAGGCTAACTCAAATTGAAAAGATTAAAACATTTAATGCTCGTAATTCAACACATTTCACTCCAGAGTGAGCTGTTCCATGTGCAAGACATTGCAAAGCAACAGTTTAAAAATACACATGTATATCAAAATGACTGATGCTCCTCTGAGCAAAACAGATTAGTCAAATGCAGATGAGACTTATCTTGGCTGAGCTGACCATTTGCTTAGGTTGAACAGAAAAATACATGTCCAGTGCCCAATATTAACTTGTAACTTCTTTATGCCTCAGGGAAGGAGAAATTATGATGATCCTTGTCACTTTTTCCTAGGTAGTTCAGAAGCAAACATTTTTATCCATCGTGATGTCCAGCCCTTTACTGAAACTTATAAAAGCATTCTCCTCACGTAGCTGCAAGCTCTACAGATTAATAACATACAGTCAGAACTTGCCTTTCAACTCCTTTGACTGCTCTCTTACACTAGTATGATGAGAGAGAATAAATCGGAAACCCAGCTAGCCTCTACATGTTACTGTTCTATCTTCTCTTTCCTACTGACTTCTGAAGTAGACAGTTTTTAGCATCCCTTTATGTAGAAGTCCCCACCCTATATCAAGGGAGGATGCGCCTTTGATTCACAAATACCATATTATTACAGAAGTAGTTTTCACTCCCCAATTACCTTCACATTCGCTGTTCCGACCACCACAGAAACACTAGTTGCTTATAGTTTCTATTGTCCTTAACTTCTGAAAAGTGCTCTTCAGCATGATCTGAAACTTTACAGTACTCCCATAAAAGATACTGTTTCTTTTAACTTCACAAATGGAGAAAGTCCAAGACTAAAGCCTTGCCCCAGGGACCTAGACCACGCTAAAAGCAATTGCATGGAAAATCAGAAGCTTATAGCTTCTAGTCTCATATTCTGTCAAATAAACAAACATAGCGGCTCAAACATCTTCACTGAGTTCTTGACTATCTTCTCACAGAATTTTCCCAATCCAAGACTAGTCCAGTAATTTAGAAGCTGGACTGAAGATACTGCAGAATACAAGGCAGGCTAGTCCTCATGTGAGCTCATGGACTCACCTGCTGTTCAGCACTCCTAAAATCTCAAAGATGATGAGTTCAAACATGGTACAAGAGAAGGCAAAAGTCACAGAGAAGATCACCTGGACCACATACTGTCGCACCTGCAATGGAGAAAAAAGCCAGAGACATCAGCTATTTCCACTGCCAGAATGACATCCCGATATCCCTCAGGTAGCAAAAACAAATCGCAAGGTACAACGGCACATGACTGGGTCTCTTCTTTCAAGGCACCTTGCTCTTTATCTAAACAGGAAGTAACCAACAGCCTGTTGGAAACAGAGAGCAACCTCATAAGCTGCTCAGTATTACACTGATTGCAGCTATTGGCACATTTAACAGAGATGCTTTACACAGAAGGTATGTCAAATGTGCAATGCTCTATGCCAACTTGAGAGACTCCCTATTAACAGAGCTCTTTGATCTTAACCTTAGACTTTAAAATAAGATCCACAGCAGAAAAACTTTTCAGGTCTGAATTTGGCTCACACTTCAGCCATCTCTAACCATCTAACCATCTCTCTCATAAATCTCTAGAGATAAGAGAATGCAGCAGTTTTATCCCCATCCAATTCTCAAAAGCAACTTAGACACAATGAACACATCTCACCGAGTTTAAAGTTAGCACTGAATTTGATTTTGTCTCAAAATGTTTACAATTACATAAGGCAGGCTTACTCAAACAAAAAGCAAAACAGTTTCCTATCATCCCTGCACCTCCTCCATATTTATTATTTTTATTTAACAGTAGCCAATACGGAAACTTTCACTGGCCTCAGAAGAATCCATTTCCTCAGGTATCGAGGAGTCTTTCAAATAGAAGCACAAGTGGGAAGTAAAATGAAAGTAACTGTAGAGACACTTAAGATAAGAGGGGTTAAAGAGAAGGGTCAAATGCAGTTTTAAAACTATTTCTACAATTGGGAGTAATTTTTAAGATACGGACTTTTAATGAATGGTCCCTTCTCACCTCATAATCCTTGAAGAGCTTGCGCATGAAGAATAGCCACCCAAATCCAAAGAACAGAACCTGCAGAAGAGATGAAGCACTTAACATTTGTATCCAGCAACTTGCAAAACATAAAGCCACTTCACTACTGACTGCAGATTAAATAAATGAAAACAGCTGGGCCAAAGTAATCAATATCCACAAAGGACTAAAACTTGTCATGGAACCAGAGAGAGAAGAATATTTTAAATATTCAAGTGTAGCAGACACAGAAGGCTATAACATTATGGAAGATGCAGTCCAGACACTCCAGTTTTGTATTCCCAGTTCTCAGAATCCCTCAGTTCCTGGCCCACCAGAATCCTTTGCACTGTTGTTTTTTTTTCTCTCTTCTAATGTACAGAATTAAAGCTTATAGTTTTTACAGAAAACACAGTAATGAAAGCAAAGTGAACACTTGAATGTCCACAACATACATGTCTTCCAGGTATGAGTAAATTTCATAAACATATCTGCTGTTGCTTTAAGAGTAGAAGTGCATTTGATCTTTCTGGATCTGGTTACACACTGACACAATATGGGTGAAAAGTGTTAAAAGCATCTCAAAACTAGGGAGAAGGCAGGGTTGAATGTCTCAAACCACAATCCGGAATTGCAAAAGCAACATAGACAAGGAAGGTGACACAGGACAAGCCAGTAACACTTTCAGTGGCTCTCTGAACACTTTACAGAATTCACTTCAGTTTCACACACACCTGAAGAGACAAACTCCATGTCACAGCTATTTTGCAGATGACTTAAATGAAAAATACAAATTAAGGAATGTGGTCAAAATTGTAATTACCAATCTTCAGAATGTAAAAGGAAACTGTTGTCAGGCCTGACATGGGTAGCCCCATCTATTCCTCAGAAGACATGAAAACAAGTGTGGTGGTTTAAAAGAACTCAAGCAAAAAAAGCATTCAGAAAATATTAAGCATTCTTTATAAATGCAGCTTTGACTAAAGAAAAGAGAAAAATCAGTATATGTCATGAAGAATGGGACCAAGACAGTATTTCTTCTCAGAGCACATGGAAAAGGCCAGAGCACTGTGACTCCCTGGGAAGATGGGAAACTTTCAGACACAAATTCAGGAATCATTGTGGATGATTCCACTGTGGTTCAGGAGTAACCGGATCCCAGCAGTGGCAAAGACAACAGACTAGCATGATTTACAGACAGGGAATAGCGGGAGTGCCAGGCAAGGAAGATCAAACATATTTTCCTTGAAATAAGAACTGCAATAGGAATAAGGTCTAGTGACTGGTAACAGCTGGCAAAACTTGTTTGAAGAGGACTTCAGACTTTAAAGTAATTGATAGCAAAAAGAAAAAGACATTTCATAAGTGTCTTATCTACAGGCAGTAAGTTAAAGAAGTATGATAAGTAAACAAGTGATATTTACATAAAGTAATTCCACATTTAACAGAGGAAAGGAGGCAAAAGGTGGAGACAAACTCTTCAAAAAGAAGTAAGTAAATAAAGTAAAAGAGATGAGGAGATAAGCAAGTACAATAATAACAGAGTAAAACAGATATGAAGATCAGATTTCCCTTTTGTTAAGGACTGTACAAAAGCACAGAACAACATTATCTGAACAGCTCACACTGTAAAACACCGCAGGTCAGTGTGACAGGTTAAGTTAGAAAATTCTTGAGATTTGACAATTACATGCATCTAACTTGACAATTCTGAAGATTATGAGAAGATGCAAAGCTAGCACCACAAATGGAAGAAAAGCAAGTTGGATCTCAGAATGCAAAGCAAATAATTGTAAAGTTTTTGTTCTGAGTGAATTGTTAACAGTATCAAAGCTACACTCAAACCTCTGACAGTGAAAAAGCAGGTTAGAAGCAAGAATCAAAGCATTATCCAATAGGAGGGCACAGCACTTCTAAGAAACGACCAAAAGCTATCCTGGAAACTGTCAGGAAAACTAAAGAGTTGTGCATTACAGTCTATGTAAGACAACCAACTGCTGTTGAGAGGGGAAAGGTTCTCTTTCCTCAGCACATCCCTCCTCAAAACAGAGCAAAAGTTTCACACCAGCTCTGAAGCTTATCAGATCCTCCTGTGATCCAGTTAAACCCATGTAATCAAACACTGGAAAGAGCACAGATAAGTAAGCATGACTGTGCAGCGAAGTGGAAGAGGGAGGAGAACCTTCCCCTTATGGCAGAAGCAAAAGTTAGACCATCTCAGTTGCCAGAGGGGCAGAAAAAGGAAGGAAGGGTATTTAGATGCTTAGAAAGGAGGGAGCAAAGCAGCAAGCAAGGGAACAATATCACAGAGAACACAGTGACAAGATAAATTACTAGCAAAGGAGGCTAATGAAGGAGGCAGCAGCAAAACACGCAAAACAGGACAGTTTTAGATATGTCAAGATTACAACCCACTTCTCATCAAGTCAGAATGACATGAAGAGGTTCAAAGGACTCCTATGTGAACTCAGCTGGTGTAAAACGAAGACTAGTTAAGCAATGGCTTTGATGGCAGCAGAAAGAAAAAGCTGAAGGAAGTGCTGAATCACAGCTGGATCAATGGAGAAGGAGGCATTTAAGATAAAACAGCGGTGTCTTTCTAAATTACTTGTAGCACAGCATGAAAAACCTTCCAAAGCCGTACACAAGGAAACTCCTCAGGGGCAAACCAGGGCTAGAAGACACGGATGGGACGAATGGGAAGACCCTGACGTGACAACTGCAGGGGGGCAACGGTCACCGCGACACGCAAGGAAGCAGCGCGAAGATGCACACAGCTTATCTCCTGCAGCGGGAGCAGGGGTGACAGAACACGGGGGCCGAACCCTGACAACCAGCACCTCACCCCTGCACCCGCAGCGCCCGGCTCC